TGTGGGCTTATCTCCAGTTGGCTTATTTTCTTCTTAGACCTGCCCAAAGAATTGCACTTGATTTGCCCTAGGCTCATTCTTCTATCCGACATGAGGAGGCAAGTGTGTCAGAACATTCCCCCAGCGAGGTTGGATTAACCAGTACAAGGTACATGATGTGTTTAAAGCCAAATGTACTGATGATCTGAATCCTTAACAGAAGTGTGGTTTCTGGTTCAGTTTTTCAAGTGGAGAAAAACCACAGACATCCTGCAGGAAAATTCCCTGTGTACAGCCCAACTTCTGTCTTTCTCTTCGTATGCTTCAAAGTTAGAGAATGACAGCACAGCTCCGAGAAGTACCCACACTGCTCAGGAAATAGGTCGCACCAGTGGCTGCTGGGGAGAGGGGCATCCCTAGAAATCAGGGTTTGGGGTGGACAGCTCCATAAGGTGTGCATTTTGTCCTGGTTGCAACCCCGCCACCCAGCGAGTCCCACCTAGAGGATGCTGTGCCACAGCTATAACTGGATTTCTGGGAAAGACTTCAGACTTTTTCTGTTTCTGAAAGTTTCTGTTGAGAGGAAATGACTTTGCCACAGAATATCCTTCTGCCCTGTTCCTTGCTGTCCTCCAGACATGGGGTCCTCGTGTTGCCATGGCCATCTTTTTCGCTCACAGCTTCTAAGTCTGTATTTAGAGCATGAAAATGCTGAACATTTCCTTTCTGGTTCTTTAGAAGTGGGGCGTGGGGAGAGATCTTCACCCACCCAGCCCTGACACCGAAGACAACCCTGTTAACTCACGGTGGGAATCACATTGTTTTCATTCTTTGTTTTGGAAAAGGTTATGCTGAAGATTGGACTTGAACTTTAACATTTTTAGCCTTCACTTTCCTATGGGTTTAGTTATTGATCAAGTTTCTCATTGAGTCGAAGCCACTGCCTTAAGGGAGTAGGAGCAGCCCCATGGCATGACACTGGCTGCTCATGTCAGACTCGGAAGAACACAGGGGTCCTGGACAAGCTTATCAGCGAGTGACAGCATTTCTGTCCCTCTCTTTCTCCGTGAAAGGGAACAGCAAACTCCCTTGCTTTCTGAGCTGATTGCTGTTACAGATTCATGCACAAAACTGTGGGTACTATTTGGCCTAATTTTTAGACTGAGATACCTCAAATCCTTTGAGAAAGTATCCTATCATTGGGCCAGTAAAGCCAGTTTTTTGTTTTTGTTTTTGTTTTTGTTTTTTTGCTAGAGAAAGCAAGAGATTCACCAAACTCATTGACCAAGGGGTGCGGCTTTCACTCAGTTTGAAGGACCTCTTACCCCCTCCCCCCCAAAGTGGG